TTAGGGTTTAGGGTTTAATAAGGTTTAGGGTTTGGGTTAGACAGGGTTTTGAGTTTTAAGGTTTAGGGAGTTTAGGGTTTAGGGTTTAGGGTTCAGGTTTATATAGGGCCTAGTGTTTTAAGGCTTAGGGAGTTTAGGGTTTAGGGTTTAGGTTTACATAGGGTTTGGGGTTTAAGGCTTAGGGAGTTTTGGGTTTAGGGTTTAGCGTTTAGGTTTGTATAGGGTTAATCTCTAAGGTTTAGGGAGTTTAGAGTTTAGGGTTTAGGTCATGGTCTCATCCTTCCACACGAAGATCTCGCAGCCGACGCAAGCCTCCATTTCCTGTCCACTCTGGGTGACCCCCTGGGTGCCCACCACATCTGCCTCGCTTCTTAGGGTTTAGGGTTTAGGGTAGACCACTCTTCTTCACTACCCTAGGTCCCAAAAAATAGTTTTCAAACTTTAAAAGAAAGGGCACATATATCAGCAAAAAAAGGTTAAAGTTCTCCCGCTGGCTCTCTGAGCTGCGTAGGTATCTGCATCCCCCGGTGCCCGGCTCAGGGAGACCAACGTCAAGCGATCCGAGGGCGTCTCCGTCTTCCCGCTTTGGTTAACCTATACTGGATTTGGGACTCTAGCAGGGTTTAGGCTTTAGGGTTGAGGGTTTTGATTCCAGTTGCAAGACAGGGGCCTTCACAATTGGAATGAAAATCATAGTTCTAGCTGTTTCTTAGGGATTTATAGTAGCCAAAGATCAGAAACTATTTCTAAGTACCCCTAGTCACCGGCTTCTTGGTGATGCCCGTGATGCCGACCACTCCATCCGTGATCTTCGTCTTCACCGCTGCGATCATGTTCCCGCGCCCCGCTTGGAAGTTCTGCTTCTTCCTGGGCTCTTGCTACGGGAATTAACCTAACTTGCTATCATACAGAAACCATCTTGTTTACTATTGATCCCGTTTCTGGCAACCCTAAACCCTAAATTTAAACCCTAAACTCTAAACCCGAAACCCAAAGCCCTAAACCCTTTTCAGCACGGACTGAGGTGCCGGCCAGAGCCCTAAAACCTCAAACCCTAGAACCCTAAACCCTAAAACCCTAAACTAAAAAAACCTCAACACCAACCCAGCTTCATGTCGTCAGGATCCATGTACTCCATCTCGTCGCCCTCGAAGGCCTCAGAGCTTCGACCCTGGGTCGTCTTGAAGATCATGCTGTAGATCCCCACGTCTTGAACCTGGGCTTTGGGGTTCAGGGTCTAAGGGTTTTAGGGTTTAGGGTTTGCAAGTAAAACACTTGGATGCATTCGTCGCAGAGTGGACTCTGCAGTCTGACAAGCTCAAGCAGAAAAGGGAGTGTTCTTAGCAGCGTTCGCCCTGCCCTCACACGTGATTCTGTTCTGGTGCACCGTCTACCGACTTGGGCAGCATTGTGACTTTCATGGTAGCGCGGAGCCTGCTTGCGTGAGGCGAGCCGGCTTAGCTTGGGATCCAGGGACCTATTGACGAGCTCCAGCTGCGAGGCCGCT